GGCCAGGATTGATGGAGCACAAAATAAAGATTCTGTTTATTATTTAACTCATTAATGACAGACAGTAGAATAATGACTGAGATACATGGTTCACGTCATAAAATAAACTAATACTGTCCTCGTCAGGTTGTCAGACAGGCCAGTTTATTCAACTAACAGGTTTTCTTCTTCCAACAACTGAGTTAGTTATAAAAGGTTATTCATTGTATATATGTTTGACGCTGAAGAATAGTTCTTTGTGATAAAAATAAAYTATTTGACTAACTCTTTGTATCCTGAAATAATTTGTACTTATATTAAGATCATTGGTACAGTTTACAGAAAACCTTTGTAAAGTTATTTGCTATATTTTAAAGTTACTGACATTAAAACCATCTATATGTATTTTTGCTTACACAAATAATTAAATGTGCTTTAAAGATTAATTTTATTTATTCATTTAAAAAATTTTGGGCTTAGGTCTGCTTGATAAAATACTGTAAATGCATAAATATCCAGCTGCTCAGGATGCACACAGACTTGAATGTAAAAACACAAGTGAAGTACAAAATGTTTAATTATACCACTGTTAGTCATTTAACAGTGACTAACTGTCTAAACTTGTAAATCGGTTATTTATTCTAAATGTTCACAAACCATAACATTCAAAATTTCCTCAGCTTTATTTTGAACCGTGGTATATTAAAGTCAAGCAATAAATAAGAACTTTATCAGAGTTTTTCTACAGGACAACACCTCATAAATTAGCTAGCAAGCTGAAGCTAACCCGGCGCTAACACTGTTAGCTAACGGTGGTACATGAACAAACAGGTTAAATGTGACACATTTCMCAGTATTCAGTTGTTATTTAAACATCCTCCTACCTGGARACGCTGCACGAGCATCAGCTGCCTCTTCTTCTCCTCGTGGCCCCCTGAGGCTGTTCGGCTCACCTGCTGTGACTCCAGTGGAACGTACCACTTTACGAGATGGGGGTGGGCCCAAAAAACGTTGGATAAGGGGCCTTTTCACACAGCTTAGATTCAACTTTTTTCTGGAGCAAATATGTTAGTTTTGTATTACTTACAGGTTATCCAAACACGCTTTAAATTTGGTGTTATGAGGATTTTTTTTTTTCTCATGAACCTCATTTTTTGTGCCCCCCACGCGCAGTGCGTGGTGTGCGTGGGAGAGGAGACGCAATTTTGGGCAGGCATGACGTCTGGAAACAGATTACGAGCCGAAATAAGTTATCATAAGATATGAGCAGTGGACAGTGTCAAGGTGAAACAGATATAAATAATTAGTACATGACACTTCTTGAAGTTACCTTCATTAAAAAAAAAACTACCAGTTTCTCGTCCTGAGCAGTCTGCCATATTAATCATCAAACTTCATTTAAGAGTCCACTTTAACATAAATGTGTCCAGACAAAAACATTTAAAGTGCCTCAAAAACAAAATGTTATCAAATCAGCCTTTTGAGGCTTTTGTTATTCTCCACTCAGTTTTCTTCTTTAACAAACGAACAGGTGTCTCAAAAATACAGATGGTGCAAATATTCATTTTTTTCAGTCTGCAGAGGAACAGAGTGACTCTGGAGTCTTTCAGCCTCCACGTCTTGTCAGCTTCTCTTTATCCAAGGTTACAGAGAATCTCTCACATTTCTTTATTTTTCTCTTATCAGCCAGAAGTTCAGTATGAGGTTTGATCGACAGCTCTTTCTGAAGATGTTCTTTAAATCAGCTGCACTCTGCTTCAATGCTTAAAAAAATCTAATCAAATACTGACTGATCACTGACTACATCTCCTTGTTGGAGCTAAAATCACATTTTCTGTCAAACTGTTTATCGTTGATATTTTTATGGAATGAAAAAAAGATAAGAGGCTGCTGCTAACACGACTCATAATATAATTAAAACTGAGGAAATAAAAAAAGGTCAAAACTTGATTTACCATTTAATGTACATGATGAAATAACATTTTTTTTTATATTTTCCTGACATGTTTTTTTCAGTTCAGATTTGTTTTGTGACATGAGGTCAGTTATACACAGCCTGGCCATAAAAAAAGGTCACACACTAGTATTTTGTGGGATCACCTAACTTTGATAAGGAACACATTCAGTGTGGCATTGTTTCTATAAACTTCTGCAATGTCACAAGATTTATTTCATCCAGTGTTGGATTCATTGTTCACCAAGATCTTTCATTGAAGACGGTAGAGTCTGATCTTCAGCACATCTGAAACACTCTCAGTGGACTCTGTGGAGCTAATCTATGGGTGAAAATGATGTCTCATGCTCCCTGAACCACCCTTTCACAATAAGAGCCCCATGAATCCTGGCGTTGTCATCTTGGAATATGGCCGTGCCATCAGGGAAGAAACAATCATTGATGGAATAACCTGGTCATTCAGTACATTCAGGTCAGCTGACCTCATTCTTTGAGCTCATACTGTTGCTGAACCTGGACCTGACCACCTGCAGCAACACATCATCACAGACTTGAGTTAAATCCAGGTGGACACTTGTTTTTTTTGGCCGGGCAGTGTAATTACTGTCCACTGTGAAGATCATATGTCAGAATGAAGCTGAATGTAACAAATCTGAAACACATCACCTCAACAGTAAACAGATGATAGACCTCAGGTTTATGGTTGGCCGTTTTCCCTTTCTGTGAAGAGAAATTAATGGAGAAAAATAAACAATAAACCAACAAGAAATGTTGCAGCTCAGTTATTTATGAAACAAACATTTTACTAAAACACTGATTTTACCTGACAATATCTGAAGCTCTGCTCCATCTGCTCCATCCTTTAATAATAATAATAATTAAACAACATAAATAAATCTGTAGGTTGTTGTCAATAAC